GACCAGCCCCTGTTCCTGCAGAGATGCTGGGCGTCCTCTGCCCCCGGCCTGGCCCACCTACCTGTTGTGTCGCCGCCCAGAACTTGCGTTGGAGGAAGGCCAGCTTGACCTGAACGCCCACCGCTTCAGGCCGCGGTGAGGGGGGAGGGAGAAGGAAGGGGGGTCAAGGCCATGTGTGTTTGGGGAGCGGGAGGAGCCGTGGGAAGGAAGGAGTGCGAGAAGAATATAGATTTACGTTAGAGAGAGGAGGTGCGTCCGTCCGCAGAGAGCACCCGGGCGGATGGGAGGTTCTGGGGTGCAGTCGGCTGAGAATCAGAGGTTCTGGGGTGGGGCGGGCGGAAGAGGAGCGAGGCTGGGCCTCTGCTTCCCCAGCTGAAGAACGTGCTAGCAGATGGTCCGAGAGAACGCGTGGTGGGGCTTCCAGAGACCAGCTGCGGACGGTCAGACTCCTGTCCCTTCTTCCCACAAACGAACAACGGAAAGCAGACAGATGGGGGAGTGTGGGGTGGGGATGGGGAGCTTTGTTCAAGGTCGCATGACACCCCGAAGTGGCAAATTTAGATGGGTAGGCGGGACCGGCTGGATCGGGCCATGCACGGGAATTCCTAGACCCCCAGGCTGGAGCCACCACCTCTCGTGTCCTCAGTTCCCGCTGAGGCTTGAGAAGGTGGCTCCTTTCTGAGCAGCTTGCCCTGCTCTGCAGGCAGGTTCCAGGAAACTAGAGCCACCCGTCCCTCTCACCCACAACCACCGGCTCTTTTCATGAGTCCTGCCTCTCGGCTTCCCAAACGGGTCTGGCGAGCCCAAGTTGACAGAAATCTGGGACAGAGAGCTCCGGGGAAACTTGGAGACAAAGCCTAGAAAGAAGAGGCAGGCTGTACAGAAAAGAGAGGGGAACAAAGATCCAGGCCCCCTTCCAACCACACGGGGAGCTGTGCCCGGAGTTGGTGATGCGCCAGGCCCTCCACCTCCACTCCATGAGCTCATTTGATCCCTGGCCGGTGCTCTTAGTGGTGAAACTTCACAGCTGTAAAGGGTTTAGCCGCACCCCCCCACCCCCCCAGTGGGGTGTGGGCGGAACAGTGCTCTAGTGGGGCCGTCTGTCGGCAAGGGCTGTCTTAGTCAGAGAGCTGCCGCTGCAACACACAACTATAAACTGAGCGTCAAATAGCCCCCTGTGGCAGGTGCTCACCAATTTGGGCAGTGCCCTTCCGCATTGTGTGACTTAGTAAGGGAAGAAACCAAGGCCCTCGGGTCTCTTGGAGCCCCCAGCAATGCTGGAGGTGTGACACCGTGGCCCTATGCCGTGGGAGGAGGTGTGACACCGTGGCCCGTCCTCGTGGCCCTGTGCTGTGGGAGGAGGTGTGACACTATGGCCCTGTGCTGTGGGAGGAGGTGTGACACCGTGGCCC